AAAGAAATAGCGTTTCAATTAACCACAGAATAAGGATATATTTTTAAAGTTAGAATTACTAAAATTATTCATGAAAATTCAAGAGAATTCTTTGAGAAATAGAAATTAACACAAAATAGCTGCTCTTACATTCCACTCTTCGGTATCCCGATGTCAATCGCGACTTAACGAAGCCGACATTGTTACAATCGCTGAATGAACGCGTTTTTTATTTGCAACCGGTGATGGTTGCGCAACTTTAGCTTGAAGAGAGAGCGAAAGTGCATCGTGGAACGAGTTTGAGAACATTGAAAAGTCCATATTGAAAGCTGCTGCACGTCGTGATCGTGGGTGCCAAGATAAAGGCGCGTTTTCAAGCCTGTTCACTTTTCACTCGATAACGAAACAACTAGCTGAACATAGGCACCGTTTGGTTCCCTTGAAACCTGTTATATCTCCGAATAATTAATAAGTCGCGAATTCCCGGCAGGCTTGTGTTCTGTACACGAGAAAATTCGGGCCAACTAATCGAGTGTTTGCCGTTTGATACCTAAGTGGCGTCACGTTGCGCAAATGGAAATTACACCTTCTTGGTTGATTTTCAGAATTTTTTTTGCAATAGAATACATTTCGTTCAATTAATTTTCAAATTTATTTACGAATTGAAGAAAAAAATGATAAAATATATTTCTCTCTCTCTCTCTTCTTTTCATAAGTGGAAAAGCTAAAATAAAAACACTAAGGAAAGTAAAAGAGAACCGGAGGAAATGGAAAAAGGAATCAGAAAATTAGGTAAAGGGAATAGTAACAATGTAAAATTAGACGACAATGATATATTTTTATCACATTGAATGCCTTGGGAATGATTTTTTCAGATATTTCTAATAATTATTGGTTTCTTATGCTAATGTTAAAAATTGTAACGAATCGTGATAGCAATTCTTTTACGGAAAAGTTCTGTTTATAGAATGTTACGATAGTGTTTAAGTAGATTGTTCTGCGAGTAAAGTTGGAAGACTTAGAAAACCGTTCTTGCATAAGCTAAAGATTTATTGAGGCGTGTTTAGCGTAGTTGTATAGGATTGGAAGTGTTTAAGGTAATAGTACGTTTTTCGAGAATTTACTCGGCTCACCTGGCGAAAGGCTTTAGGTTGTAATAGTGTATTTTTGCAATAAAAATTCGTTATTATTTTTTCCCATAAACTCTGCATCTTCGTGGTACGATGATTCGTGTAACTGCATTCGATCGATCTAATAAATGAATGTAATACGTAAACATGTAACAGAGAGTTCTCAGATGCACAAAATAAAAACTGAAAATAAAATGTTAAAAGAGAATGTTGGACATAAAAAATTCGAAGCGAGGACTTGACGCAGAAACGTAATATAAAATCTTTAATGTAGGAAATTAAGATACGAAGTTATACAATAGAAATTTAAAATAAAAGCTTCTGAAATAAAAATTCTAGACAAACTGCGAAAAAAAAAAAAAAAATACATAAGCTGGCTAGTGTTTGAAGTTACTGAAGAAACATAATAGCACATTCGCGGAGCTCGTAAAGCCAGGAATAACGATGCCGCGGCAAATAACCGGAAATCGGGGAGGGAACGCGCCTCAACAAAGAACGATGACGCGACGCAAGCGAAACGAGTTAATCCACCGGTGTGCACGATCGAAGGATAATTCTTTCGCGGGCTTGAATCGAGATGAGTCAACGTTTAAACCAACCAACTCCACTGCTGATGCACAATCCCTCCACAATCTCTGTTTCATCCCCTCTTCTGTTTTCTCTTTTCTGTCTCTCCTCTCTCCTGTATTCTCTTTTCCGTCTCTCCTCTCTCCTGTTTTCTCTTTTCCGTCTCTCCTCTCTCCTGTTTTCTCTTTTCCGTCTCTCCTCTCTCCTGTTTTCTCTTTTCCGTCTCTCCTCTCTCCTGTATTCTCTTTTCCGTCTCTCCCCTCTCCTGTTTTCTCTTTTGTGTCTCTCCTCTCTCCTGTATTCTCTTTTCCGTCTCTCCTCTCTCCTGTTTTCTCTTTTCCGTCTCTCCTCTCTCCTGTTTTCTCTTTTGTGTCTCTCCTCTCTCCTGTTTTCTCTTTTCCGTCACTCCCCTCTCCTGTTTTCTCTTTTGTGTCTCTCTTCTCTCCTGTTTTCTCTTTTCTGTCTCTCCCCTCTCCTGTTTTCTCTTTTCTGTCTCTCCCCTCTTCTGTTTTCTCTTTTCTGTCTCTCCTCTCTCCTGTATTCTCTTTTCCGTCTCTCCCCTCTCCTGTTTTCTCTTTTGTGTCTCTCTTCTCTCCTGTTTTCTCTTTTCTGTCTCTCCCCTCTCCTGTATTCTCTTTTCCGTCTCTCCTCTCTCCTGTTTTCTCTTTTCTGTCTCTCCTCTCTCCTGTTTTCTCTTTTCCGTCTCTCCCCTCTCCTGTTTTCTCTTTTGTGTCTCTCCTCTCTCCTGTATTCTCTTTTCTGTCTCTCCTCCCTTTTCTCTCTTCTTTCCTCCTTTCTTTTTCTGTCTTCTCTCCTCTCTTTGTTCTATTCTCTCTCTTTTCTCTCTTCTTTCTCTTCTCTCTGTTTATTCACTTTTCTTTGGCTGGCCTGAAATTTTGCGTTGCATGCATACAGACAGAATGCAGAGGCAAGCAAGTTGCTCCTCCTCGATTAATCTAATTAAGGTGCCGCGCCGCCGCGAGTGAGCCACGAGTAGAAAGACCCTTTGACAAGTTAGAAACGGTGGATTCGATTGCCACGCGGCCGAAATATCAGACGGGAAATGAACGAGAACGAAACCGGGTCAGGATTTACCGCAACGACGAACGTTTGTTTGATAAACTTCGCGAATTTCACGATTCCTCTTTCTTTCTTTCGCTTTGAAGAGGAAATGAAGAGATGAAAAAACGTGCCGAGTTCAGTTGAAACGATTTGGAATCTTTCTGCAAAGCAGAATCGATCTTCCGTTATTCCAACTACGAAACAAAGTATGCAAAATAGTTTCTACACACTTGCTGATAACATTATTTTCACCTACTTGATCCTCTTATTTGGAATGAAACATTCGGTAGGAAAATTTACAGATAATTTTACAATGATATAATTAAACAAAGTACCCAAAGTTTTTATCAATAATAGAAATAAATTTCTCAACTTTGTAAATTGGCTAAGCTTTCCTGACTGTTTACGTTAACTTTAATAATTCTACTAAAAGTTGTAATTATTTAAAAAAAAAAAAAGAATTCGTCCTTTGATATATTTTCTAATTCTCTTCTTTTATCATTAAGAGAAAATTGTAGAATACTGTATGAAGAAGGAATAATGCAACATGCTGGATTGTAATGAGAGCGACGTGGAGAGCTTGGCTATACGAGCAAGATCCTTAATGCGGAATAACCGAGCGTAGAAGGAATCTGCAGCTTGTTCAGCAATGATTAAACGCTGAGAGAATCAGCTTACTCCTGACGTCGCGTCATGCTACGGAGAATATAACGTGCTCCCGAGATACACCGTAATCCTTGAGTAACGTTGAAACTCCGTGGAAGGTCTCTATATTGAAGTCACTTTCAATTCTAAGCATTGTGAGGACTTCTGGTTAGATCTTGTTTATCATTTAATTGAAGAAACTACTCTCTATGCAGTGACAATATTCTGGCGAACTATTGGAAATCTATCTTTCATTGTCGTCTCGATGAAACATTTCACAATCAGATCATTTCTAATTGTATACTTGTAATTGCACATTTTAATTTCTTACCGATCGAAAATTCTTGTAATTTTCTAAACAAAAAAGAAAACCTTAAGATTTCAAAATTAATGTATTTACCGTAGAAGATAGTGACCCAATTTCTGAATCGATTTTCTTGGAGATGATTTTTCCTTTCCATAGAGAAATTTCGTTTCATTTGTTCTCGAGGAAAATCAGATTTTATTGAGTCATGCTATTCTCGAATAGCAGGACGCTTATAATTCTCCGTGTTTTCGTGTCACAGTAATAAAGCGAGAAACGCACGGATTTCCGTGGATATAAAGCAACGAGCTACTGGACCGTGGTAAATCCGGTCGGTGCATTCGAAATGCCCCGACGAAAGCTCGGAATACAGTGGAAAAATTACTTTCGGTTCAGGGCTCGCTCCTTACGAAAAATCTTCCCTCCGGAGAGAGATACCCGGCTGTAATCTACATGGCCATCTGATTTCTCCAGCTACTTTACTTACTATTCACTTTCTTTTCTGGACGTTTGAGCGCAAAGGGAGATATAAGAATTGAAATTCGCCCAGTGTCTTCTTTCAGAGGAGCGGGGATCTTTAGAAGACAATTCTGAATGTGAAATGCGTTACGATCTTTAAGCAAATTGGAATAGGAAAGAAGAAAGAGTATTAGTACCCTGGAATTGCGATGCCTACGAGTTCAGTTCTTTGAAGTTACGAATCCTAGAATTATAATGCTCGAAATGACAATTCACGAAATCTCGATGGTTTGGAATTGCTCGCCCCCCTCCCCGGAATTTCAACACTCGGAATTACGCAATTCCCGAAAATTTCAGCGCCTTGCAATCGCAATTCCCGAAAGCAACGTTGGAATCGAAACCCCCGAAACTTCGCTGCTTTGGAATTGCGCGTTCTTGGGGATTTTATTGCCCGCAGTATCTCAGAAATTCGGTACTTGGAATTGTGCCTCTCCGGGAATTTTAGTGTTCGATAGTGCAAGATTTGTAATCGTAATTCTTGAAATTTTAGTGCTGAGAACCGCAGTCGCCCGAATTTCAATACTTGGAATTGCAACGCAGAAGATTCAAGTGCTTTGAAATTACAATGCTTTGCAATTGCGATAGAATTCGAACTCCTTCTGTTTCGAATTTCATTGAATTCGGCTATCTTTTAATCGTGATACCTTTTTAACCGGAACATCCTTCGATTTAAACACCTTTTAAGCCGAACCCCTTTACCGCGCCCTTATCACACTTTTTTCCCGAGCCTCGAGCGAAAGAAAAGAGGTTTCAGCGGCAGGTTTCTTGATACGTTTCTATTGTTCTCGTTTCAGAGAAGTGGGTGTTGCGTGAATTAACAAGAAGAGGGTGCAAGGTTGAGCGACGGTGCTCGACTCGAATATTCCTGTAGTGGTTCATCGATTGCGTCTTCCTGGCTTTCCTGACGGTGAGTTTTCCCCCTCAATTTTTCACCAGGTCGTCCCACCTCCCATTAAATTTCCAGTATGCACCCCTTTCTTACCCTTTTTCCCCCTTTCTTAGAATTTATTCCCCGCTAGTAAGAAGTCAATCATTTCCATTGGGAAAGAAGTTATGAAACATTAATTTTCCTGTAAATTGAAATTTTTTTAATATTTCTCTGGACAGTTCTAACGTAATTGATTTTCACGGAACAAATTATAATATCAATTCTCATAAATACCCACAAAACCCTCGAATAATTCACAAATTTTACTTGACAATCTCTGCTACGAAAAAATCCTAAAATTACCCTCATAAATTCACATAAAACGCCTCAAACGAGAGCCACATATTTCAACATTAATGTTCCAACACAAATAATCCAAACGTTACTCTTGATACGTACCCATGAAACATATCAGCAACCCACAAATTTAGTCATCAAAATCCTTGTCCAAGTATATCTGAAAATTAATCCTCGTAAATCCATCGAAAGCACTCTATAAACGAGTCATAAAATCTTTGTCATTAATCACCACTCAACCTCCACGATGTTAATCGTTATATCAGGCCAAACAATACCTCCACACGATTAAGAAAACAAACCAGGAAGAAAGGTACAATTTTTCTGAAAAAGAAAAACATTTCAAATGAACGAGCAACATATCCCCTTCCACTTTTTGTTCCTCCTGTATTCCGGGCACAAATTCCGGGCAACGTCAATATTTGCAGGAAAAAGAGTGGCGAGTGGCCGTGTCACAATGAACTCTTTCTCTTTCTCTCTGAGAATTGTCGTCGTCGTCATCGTGGCGCTTGGGTATTTATGTTAATTAGAGGCGAGGACGCCGGTTGAACAAGGCGAAACACGGCCTCGAGGCCCTCGAAGATGCA